ATAGCTCCTCTCCCCCTCTCTTCTCTGTGTTGACACATCCAAAAGGCTGAAGAACATGAACAAAGTAGGTCAAAGAAACCCAAATGACTTGGGGAGACTGCCAAATTTGTGAAAATCATCCTCCTTATGAACACTAGACTGTTCTGAAAGAAATATATAGCAAAAAAATATATTTTTCTACCACATCTCTCTGACAAGAAGACTCCAGGGTGAAAGAAAGCCAGGACATTTGACTTTCTAGAAACTCCAAAGGGGGCTGGAAGCAGAAATCACAGCTGTGCATTTCATAGTAGAAACACCTTCAGTATTCTTGACCATCTAGCTAGAAGGTCTTACTTTTACCTTAAAACTACCTGCTATATTTTTCTGTTACGATACTTTGGAAAGATATTTACCTTTTTTTTTTGTTTTTTTTTAAATCCAATACTTCCTATGCAGTTGTATCTGTGATCTCATATCAGATCACACCGACCTTTCTTTAAAAAGGACAGAAAAATTATTTAATATATTAGGGGATAAAAAGGGAAAGAGGTAGACACTTTCCTGTTGAACTTCCATTGGCTTCAGAGAAAATGACAAGACTCGGAGATATCCTCATTCTCTGCTCTGGTTCAATTTGCTGAGAATAATTACATTCTCTTCCCTAGAGTAATTTTGGAGGCAAATGGAAGAAAGGTAAGTCTTCTTCAAAAAAGGAAACATTTAGAGTTTTGACGATATAAATGCCATTGAAAAAGTTTCCTATAATTTTTTCCCTTCTGCACAAAGCAAAACATTTTCAAGTTGAAAATGTAGGAATGTCAACATAGGTTACTCAAGCTGCAGGTCACCTACAACTTTTGGGACACACTACCTGAGCTAAACTCTACACCTAAGTCACAATATGCGCAACTTGGGCTTTTTAGAAACAGGGCAACATTTTTTTATGACAGCTTATTCACATTACCCCCTTAATTCATTGCCTTCTACTAATAAACTTGTGGCACATCTGCTCCTAAGTGGAGTAATATTAGAAAACAAAAACAAAAAAACCAACCAAACAAAAAACCACAGCCACACATACTTTACCACAAATATGCCAAGCATAAAGCAAATTTGGTTTCTAGATCTGTTATCAAGTAATATTTCACAAAGTAAAGAGATAAAAGTTTGTCCCAAGAAGAAAAAACAGAAGGAACAGATGCAGCTTGCAGTCTGGCACAGTGTACAGCACATGACAAAGTTTGGAAAGAAAAGCCTGTAGCTCCCTTTTTACCTCACCAAGACAAAATGTACAAATAGCTGTAACCCCCTCCCCATTTGGGGGCCCATAAAACAACTGTTAATGCATACAGTATTATAAAATGTTTAACAGTAAAATGGACCCATTTGGCTTTCCCTAGAAATCTGAATTTTTGGACTTGGTGCCCAATCATCTATGTAATTTCTCAGTACAGTCATATTAAGAGATGCTTCTCACCTTCTGAAATATCACTCTACTGTTCTGATTGAATAAATTGAATTCCCTCCCTCCCCACCCCCAACTAACATGAAACAGATGGAAAATACATTACACTAGAAGTTCTCAAAGAATTGCTTTCACCTTCAAATACCAATCACTGATTGCAGTGTGCTCCTTACATGCACACCATATCGACTGAACTCCACTGTGAGAAAAAAATCGAAGTTAGACCTATTGGGAGTCCAGTACAGCTACTGAGAACTGTATTGGGTTTTTGTGGTTGGTGGGTTTTGTGGTTTTTTTCCAGAACAGACGCAATACACAATGTTGGAAGAACTGAATATTTCTAAGTACCTTTCTGGCACCTTTGCTAGGTACTTTTCAAGACAACCCTTTAAAATGTACAGCTTCCACACCTAAGTCTAGTGCCACACACCAGCAGGCATAAGATCAACACTGAGGAGATAGCATCCTTGCACATAAGCAACAGAATCTGCAACTCAAAGTTCAGATGCTTATCTAGTTTTCTCATGTTTGTTTCACCCAGCTTTAAGTTTTTGCTTTACATGACAATTGTGAGATCTCTGGAATTTGGCTCTCTTGTGTATGTGTGTTATCACGACAGATCACTGAGGTGGCACAGACTCCTTGGCACACCTATAGCGAGAAGTAATCAGTGTACATCCAAAAAAAAAAAATTAATTCAGTTTGAAAGATTGAGCACTGAAGAAGGAACACATGGGAGCTCATTTTCCAGGTTATGTGTTTCATCGCTCACAATTGTTTTCTTCCTTATCATTCCAGCACTACTGGTTACTTACATTCATGCAACAAAAAAATCTTCTGGCAACACATCCAGTGCAGAGTTCTGTATAAATCAAAATTCAATTGTTTTAGTATCCGAATTCAATAAATTTCACACACAGGAGAGAAGCTGTATGCAAAAGGAACATTCTTCAATCACAGCCAGCCAATCAAGCTAGCATCACACAAATGAAAATCCCCACTGAGCTACAGGCTGAAGATCTATTTGGAACTACAATGTGGCCATCTACTCCTACCTTTGCTACAACGCAGCCAGATAAGGTATTATTCTGTATCTTTAAAAGACCCTCCTATTGTGTTAAGTTAATTCAGCTGAGCTTTAGCAAGTGTGAGAGAGGAATCACAGACTTCTGCCCATCCTGACAGAGCACAATGCTTTCTGCCACGAGCAGTCCCAAAGAAGTCACGCAGCATGCCAGGTACAAAGTATTTGCAGAAGTGAGCCCTCAGACAGGGCTATAAAAGCTCTGGGTTAAGGAAGCACATGCCAACTTGCTTCTGCTTGATCTGTTACACAGCTTGACAGTAACAGATAGCCGGTTGCATTAGTGTCAATGTTCAGATAAGTTTCTCTCAATATCTGTCACAAAAAACAGACGCGGTATCAGCGTGCCAGCTGTATTATCGGTCACTACATAGTTGATCATACTTAATAACAGCCTCGAGCACAGACACGGCTAACAAGTATCACAGACGGCAATTACTATTGTGCGCCACAGTCACCCAGATCGCTCCGACTCGGAGCTGCCAACGGCGCGCATTCGGCGAGCGCCTGCCTCCCACCTTTTCCCTCTCAACTACATTAACTTGCCTCAATATGGAGCCAGAGTTTGTTTTGAAACTCTTAACAGGATCACTGAAAGAAAAGAGGAAAAATACCATAAATGATCCTCTGGACTGTTTCCAGAGTCGCGTATTCTCTTAGCGACTGCTTTGAAAGCAAGCCAAAAATGGGAAGTGTTCTTGCAAATGAGCACGCTACTATACTCAAGTACAAGTTATCATTTAATTCTTTTGTCAACATCAGTGCGGTTAGAAATTAAGGAGCCTGTTTAATAAACAGGTTACTTGAATTCCAGTTACCAAACACCAATTTCTTCTCTATCCATCTCCCCCATGCTCACTCAGCTCCTGCCCCCCACACATTTCCCAACATACACTGCTTTCTTTTTTGGATACTTTCTCTCCTTTATTGAAAGTCAAATAAAATTAGTATATTAATTACATCAACCATGACTAGGTCTGTAATCAAGAGCAAGTTAGCTAAGAAAAGGAAAAAAAAGTCAGTCACTCCAAAAAGGCATTTGAAAACCTCAAAACAGGCTTCTACAGGACACAGCACTTAATATTTTTAACAGAGCTTTGATACAGTCTACTGAATGGTTTCATGGGGGCAGTTTTTCACATTACAATTACTCCTAATGAGATCACCCTCCACAGTGTATAAGCCCTCATCCCTTCCCAACAGAACAATGAAAGATTTGTGCAAGGCTACAAAGGCCTCAGATCAACTCCACTCACTTCACCTTGTACCGAATTTCCTCGTAAAAACTTGCCAAGAACACAAGTGTGTTTTTTTCTGAGGACAAATGACTAATAAGGAGACTCATTTACTTTGTTTTAGGGTGTCCCTAATCCTCTACAGATTTTGAAGTCCTCACACAGACACGTCAGATTCAGTGACTGATGCCAGCTTTGGTTTTGAGATTCTGTAGGTTTCTCCTCTTCACAGATTTGTGGGCTTTTTTTCCAGTTTTTGACTTACAACATTTCTCACCAACAAATGTCTGCCTATCTTACAACAAAAATATGGTGATATGTAACTCCTTGTGTTATCTTACGATAAAGATGACAGACCTTGTGTTAAATGTACATGAAAATACATGTCTTCAAACAAACTGCCTGTTCTCTTGATTTTACTGTAAGGAAAGAATGAAATATCCTTTCTCACGCTAAGCAGAAATACCTTACACATGTAGCCCCAGTGAAAGCAATGCTAAGGGTAGGTATCATTCTAAGAACATGGATAACTGAATCAGTCTGAATTAGAAAGTACAACTTAGTAGTCTCTGATTTGCTAGTATTTTAAACTAATCACCATGATCCCACTGCAAGCCAAAAGTTTAGAGTTAGCTTTATGCAAAAAGATACTGTAGAAAGGAAAACATACTTTCTTCTGAAAACTTGATATTCTGTTTGAAAGATCTATCTTGTGTTTGAAATTTTATACACTTGACACAAAAGTCTAACTCAGTTTTTGTGTGTGTATTCTTCCCATTACTAACCACACCTCATTCTAAGTTCACCTCCTGTTTTAGTTTCCTTATAATTCTGTCACAGATCATGTGAAAGAACAAACTGGTTAACTACTTATATCCAAGACTATTGATACAATGTTCTGTGATAGGTATGATTTGCTCTGCATTACCAAGAGGTACAAGGAACATCACCTTAACTGGTTTAAAATCTTAGTCCTGACTCTATATTTATACTTTATACAACTTTTAACTTTTCTTGTTTAAATTTAAAAACACAGTATGCAACCGCTGATGTCCATATCCAGAAGGGCTGACTGCTTTAGATTAGTCAGCTTGAAGTTTACAGATTGGAGATCCGAAAACTTTGAAAGCAGATTGATGATGTATTTCTCTTGGGGGAAAAAAAAAAAAAAAAAAAAAACTGGGAAAACCTGACCTATAGCATACATATTACAGCAAGTTGTATGTTTACTTACGTTCACACGTGTCTCCTTTTTGCTGGTATCCTGCTTTGCAGATACATTTTCCAATAGGCACTAACCATTCTCCCTCCGCGCTACAGTGCATTTTCGGCGAGTTCTCTGCCTCCTCCTCCGCACTGCTGACACAAGTTCCTCGTACTTCAACTAAAGAGGAAAACTCTGAGCCAGTCACTGTGTCAGGAAAAATAGCTAAGTTCTCAATGATGGACCAGCACTTCTTGTAGTAGACTTTGACAGAGACCAAAGCAATGCAGGCCCCTACATCCTGAAATGCAAGATAGAATCCTTTTTTGGACAAAGGTCCAATTTCTCTCACCTCTGTGTTAAGTTTCATTTTTCTCTCCCCAAGATCACCCTGGGTAAAACTTTCATCTGCTGCAATAGTGTCTATTTTTACATATTGGTTTTCTCGGATATTCCTGCCAGTGTCGTAGTCTGTTTCATAATAATACAAGTTAAAAGTTTCTTTACAAGTCCCCAGAACTCCAGGAAGACTGTTACAATCCCTCAGAGTGAATTTCAGTTCTACAAAAATCCTTTGTGCATTGCTTTTTGCAATCCAGTTAGTCCGAAGCCAGTTGTTTTGGTTTGATTCCATCACCTGGCATACCTGGTATGTTCGTATAGGAGTGTAGTTTTCATCCAGTCCACTAATTTCTTCCCACTAAAACAATAACAAACAGTTAGTAATACAAAACAAGTATGCCACCAGATGTAACTACTGTGTATTTTAAAAGGCTTCACACAACTCAAGTCCCCCTCCTTTTTAACAGTATGGTTCCATAAAAAGTAGGTTATTGTTAAAATACTCTTAAGAGCGCAAATGAAGAAAATACACATTAACGCAGCTGCAGGCTCTCTCTTCCTCCATGTCTTTCCCACATATAAAGAACTTCAAAAAATCATTGTCTCATCATGGGCACAGTTGTAAAGAGGAAGCTCCAGAGAAGGCTGTTCAGCATACCAAATTCTGATTATGCACTAGGCTCTCCCACTTTTCGTTAAGGTCATGACAGTCTTGGATAAGCAGAGACCAGAAGGAGGGAGGCAGCTCTGCTTCCAGAGAAACCTAAAATCAGTGAAGTCTTAGAAACTGAAATTGCCTAATGTTACAGTACATAAAACCTGTGTACATAAAACTTCCAGTGGAACTCTCAGTTGTACTGAAAGCATGGGACCGGGCCCCGAAACTTGTGAGTCAGACGATTTTCACTGCTACATGATGGAAGTGGCACAGAGACAGAGGGCAAGAGAAAAAGGACAGAATTAAAAATCTGAAAGCAAGAAAACATTTTGGTTGTCCCCTTTTTGTTCAGTCCACCTTCTGTTCTACTTACAGACCAAAGAAGGTAAGCAGGAGCTCCTCACCTCACATTTGGTTCAGTGGCCCCATCCATGTTAAAAGGAGCAAACTTCATTTAGTTGGGAGTTCAAATGAACCATGAGATTACATACGTAATTAAGAACAACCCACATGACTGAAAGTTCACTGGTTCAAAGCCTGTTTTTTGTTGTTGTTCCCTCTTTAGGATACCAACTATGTAACAAACCCGTAAGGCTCCAACAGCCCCGTAGTCTTTAACAGCCTTTGGTGGCGTGGGAAATTGCACCTCCGGCAATGGCAAACCTTCCACTGAAATCAGCCAGGCAGATCCGCCCAGGTGTAACCAAAACAATATCTGCCTCTCACCTTTTTTCACATTTCTTGTAACATTTAATTCACTGCAGAAACCACAGCTGTAATAAATTAGGTGGGGGAGGGGGTTGAGCTATCCTCACCCAATGACATAGGGAACCACAACTTCTCCGTATGGCGCTTCGCCCTCTGGCCCGGTGTCAATAATGCACTTAAGATCACGCTTAAGATCAATGACAGTACTTATGAGCTTAATGGTAAGCATGTGCTTAAGTGCTTTGTGGGACTAGCACACCCGGCACCTCTGCAGGATGGAGCTCCCACAGACATTCCTTACACCGGTAACCAAGCGTGGAAGGCATTGGTTTCCCAGACCAGCAGCCATGCAGTATACAGTACTTTGCAAGCCTATTTGACAGCAGATGAGATCATTTTAATGTTGGTGCACTGCTCCAAGAAAAAGCAGATGTGGCTGAACTGATGCTGGAAGTTATCACCACAAAATATATCACGGCTGCAGATGCTAAAATGCACAGAAGCTGCAAATATCAAAGTGCATTTCAAAGACCTACAGTTAATACAGACGTGGTATGTATGGTATTATATATGCATATGGTATTAAATGATTGAAATATATTATTAAATGCTCATGGAGTTAACTGAACTGATTGCATATGGAACTGTATTAATGTCAGAACAGAAGGTAGTCTATATTCATAATAGATTTATTAGATTTGAATAAGATCTTTTCCCCCTCTATAAGAACTAGTACAAACAAGGAAAAGAAAAAAACAGGGCCCTGGACTGAGGCTTTTGGCTCTGCCACATTGAAAAAGAAAAAAAAAAAAAAAGAAAACACAATTAAAAAAATCCACAAGGATGACAAAAAAGGCATGAAGCCTAAAATTTTACTGATTTTTATATTCTCCATTTCACATCAGGTAGTGTTGGTTTGGGGTTTTTTGAGTTGGTTCGGTGGTTTTGTTTGTTTTATTTTTTATCTTGCGTAAGCAGTCCTCCCTCAAAACACCAAGCCAGATTCTGCAATGAGATATTCCAGTTAGACAACGTATCGTATCTTTGGAGTGAAAGTAACTCTAATGCACCACACAACAGAATCTGACTCCTCGGGTTTTGATGTGGACTGCTCTGTCAAAACAAATCCCCACCGCCCCCTCCCCCCCAAAAAAAACCAAACAGAAAGAAAAACAAAAACAAACAAAATACATTTAACAAAATCAAACCATTTTTCATACTACAACACAAATGAGCCTTCTTGGAGTCAAAAGCCCACTACGTGAGACTAGCTAGTATCAGAGGGATTCATATGCTGTAGTCCAGGAAAACAATACAAAACACTAAATTCAGATAAGAAGTCCTACTTTACGTTATCCCTAGCATTAAACACTGAAGTCTGTCTTTCCATATTTTCCCAAAGCCATGGAGTATGGTTTTCCTAAAAAATTAAGGAAATATGACATGATTCAATTGTGTAATCACAGAACTATTATTTCACGTAGTCCACTGGAGGTGTACCTGCTTCTCTGTGGGGAAGAAAATACATCAGTATTTCAGGATGTTTTCACCTATGCCATCTGAGGTCATGTTTCATTAAAGTCTCTTTAAAGCGATCAATTCCGTGATAGCTTTTACAGCAAGAAAATTCAACTTTTCTTTGTCCTGCTGCAACATATGGTGATATACATACAATTCCACTTCAATGCACCCTGTTCTATTGGTTTCAATATATGGTGGTTTAACTTCTTAGTTATCTTAACATTGTTTGAGATCATTGTTAGATGTAACATTTGCAGTTGAATGAGGCATTTAACGAGTGTCTGGCTGATATATTCCGTAGTGTGATGATGCTGTAATTTCTCTCAAGAAGAAGATTTTCTGTGTTTACTCCCATGAAGTCTTTATTGCATAGTAGAAAATTCAGTAATGAAAACTAGAAAAACATTTTTTTTTTCAAAATTACATTATTAAAATTGTACTTTTATGTTAATTTATAGGCAACTATTTCTGAACATTTTCACACATACGAATCTAGCCATTAGTTTTGATTCACTTTTAAATCCTCATTGAAATTAGCTTCTACCTCTGAAAGTTGGCTTTTACTATTTGTTGAATTTGACTCTAGTTTCATCTTTCAGTATACTGACATGTGTAACATGTTGACACGTCCTTCATTATCTACAGGTTAGCCTAATATAATTGCCACCAAGCTAATCTTTCAAACACCTCTGGTAAAGGCTTCAATCAGTGCAAAACGCTAATGCCGAGGTTATTAGCCATCATACGCGTCGAGCTTGCATTACATTCTTTCTGAAGTCCTCAGATTCGTTTCCAGTTTATGCTTGTATTGATTTTACGATCTTGCTTTTAAAGAAAGACACTTTCAGATTTTCATTCTTCTTATTTAAAGGATTTGTTACACTTTTATATCCCCACTCACATTTCACGGTCTTCTGGCTCCAGATTTCTTAATGTGCTAAAGATTAAGGGCCTGATCCCCCAAGTCCTTGCTCATGCAAGAAGTCGCAATGGATTCAGCAAGACTGCTTCCATGAGTAAGAACTGTCCATTTATGATTTGTCAGACTAAGTTAAGGTAGGACTGAGCTAAGGTAGGACAATATACCCATTATATCTTTCTGAAAATGTTCTTCCTCAAGGCTTGAGGACGAAGGGGGTTTACACCACTTTTAATTCAGACTGAAAGCAGCATTTCTCAATGTTACGTATATAATAAATAAGACAATAACACCAATGTTTCGAAACTTCTCAATTTTTATAATGATGTGCTTTACAATGGTACATTTCATGGAGTACCATGGGATTAATTTGTAAGCAAGCTAGAGGTGGCCTTAACCACATAATTCATGCCTAGTTCCAGATATCAAGCTCCTCAAGACTTGGGGATGTTTCAAGTTTGGAATGTCATTTCAAACACATCTGCAGTATAAATGTTTTTATTTTAGAGCACTTCAATCTGTTCCATTCAATTACAAAGAAAACATCGTAAACAAATTTATGATCACCCATTATACAGAAAATGAAAAACATATTTTTAGAAAGTTTCCACACAGAAGTAAATCTGCTGTTGCTAAAGGAAGAAGGAAAAAGTGATTTAAAATGCCATGTTATAAATATACAGAGCTTTCTGGTACAGCACAAAGGATTACAGCACAAAACATAAACCTACCGAGAACATTTAGGTGAGTTTCTAAACAGACTCTTCCTTTTAATTAGCTTGTACATTTGTACACTGTAACCTGAGGTACTCTTCTTTCCATTCTAAAAATGAAAAAGCTGTAAACACTTCGTACGATTACTGAGAGGAATATGAGGGGGAGCTAGTTTAAAGCAAGTCTTTCAATTGCTTTGGTATAGTAACTACTCATCTTTAGGAACTTAATTTTTGCCTGGAGTACTTACCCCATTGGGAGGAGAGGAAATCCATTCCAACTCTGTCTGTTGTGCTTTAGAGTCCAGCAATATTACTAAAAAAGAAAAAAAAAAAAAATTTCAACTGTTTGTTAAATATGGTAAGTGGAAACATAAAACCAAAGAACAAAGTCTGAATAAAAAGAAGTTATAAAAATAATACAATTTTTGTACAAATTAATATTTTTTCTTCATATTATTAAAAAAATTATCTGCAACCACAACTATGCATTTACTCGTAAATAGATGATTAAATGATTATGTACCATCCGCATATAAGCAGATATACATTAATCTCAACAATTTCATTGCTTAAATCAAAGTGTATTGTTTTTCTTAGTGTTCTACAGTGTTACTAATCAGTCATTAAGACGCATGCTCCCTTCATCTCTTTTGTCCTAAGAAGGACATTTCCCATATGCTGGTTATTACAATGACTTTAAAACAAACAAATACACACCAACATTTCAACAGTTTTCCAAACTGATTTAGACAGGACTAGTCTATACCCTACCGGGAGTTGCACTGCAAAAGCAATGCTCTTTCTGAGTTTGAAAAAAAAATAATGTCCCTTCAGTGACAAAGCAGTAATTCGATAAACAAATGACAACCAGGAATACAGAAAATAAAGACTCTGCAATTACCTCACACTCTGCATACACAAAATACTACATACACAAAATCAGACTAATTCGCTTTACGGTAATGGCTTACTAAAATCTTCATGTCATTATACCCCAGTGACACTTCTATGCAAAAAGACATCAGTTCTAGTAGCACTGCAATTATTTTCAGCTAAATGTAACCCCGTCTCCAAAAGTGGTTAATCACCACCTAATAAAACAACTCTTACATGTTTTACAGTACATATTGGAGGTTATATTACTGATGTTCTGGTACCTCCAAACATACATTTCTATATGTGTCTTATATTTCAGTTATAGCTGTAAGCTTCTTTCTTAGCATATTATTCTAAGTTTCTGTAAGACTTTCAAACGGTACATACGTTAACCTGAGATGTCCAAAAAAAAATCCAAAGTGAAGTAATTTACTGCAATACCTTCTTTCAAACTGCCAAAGCTGTAGAGTGATCAACCATATATCTAGGTTTGGTACACTTTGAAGATTCCTTCTTCAAAGCAGCTGCACATTTAACTTCATACTTGTATTTGATTAAATAAAAAGTAACATTTCTGATTTAAATCTCTTCAGTATATTTTTAGCTATAAAGCTATTTGTAACTTTCTGCGCAGCATTTAAGTACTGATATTTCAATGCATGATTTCAGGCTGTAACTTGAAGCAACTTTTTTTGTCAGGTCTTTTGGAAACAGTTATAATTCTGGCTTCGGCCCTTTCTCCTATTAGAATATAACACAAAATTTCAGTGAATTACTAGAAAGACGAAGTGACTAGAAAAGTTATTTAAGGGTTCATACAGTAATATCTGGAACGTTAGCCGAACACAAAACGGTAGCTTCCAGGCCTGTATTTGAGTAATAAAGTGGAACTACTCATTGAGGAAGTTTGATAGTCTCTCCCTAGAAAGATTATGTGCTTATTTTGTTAAGCGTGGATTTCAAGGGGCTTTACTTTGTAACACTTTCTATAGAAAAGCAGGTGGTGTATGGGGCGGTTTGTTAAACGAGAACATTTATAATGGTCCTGGAAAAAGAGGTACCACGAGAAACTTAACCATTTCAGCACCGGCACCAGGTCCCGCGGCTGCAATTCATTACGCTCCTTCCTTGGCAGCGATTCTCCGTCCCGTAGCAACACCCCAGGAAGAAAAAGACACCAAGCGAACAAACCAGCCCCAGACCCTGCGCTGCCAACCCCCCCCGCGAGGACAACGCGCCGTTCCCGCGCGGCGCCCAAACTCCCCGGGGAAGCGCCCCCGCCCGGCTCCGCGGCTGCTGCGCGGCGCCCACCGCGGGGCTGCGCAGCGCCGGGACCCGAGGCGGGAGGACGGCGCC